TAACTTAACAGTTTTCAGAAGATTAAGAAATTTGTAACACTGAAATGTAACTTAACAGTTATCAGAAGATTAAGAATTTTGTAGCACTGAGCTGTGACCTGTAAGTTATCATACAATTAACAACCTTGTAGGGCTGAACTGTGACTTAAAAGTTATCAGAACATTAAATAAATTATAGGACTGAACTGTGGCTTACAAGTTAACAGAACATAAAGAACTCTGTAAGACTAAACTGTAGCTTATAAGTTATCAGAACATTAAAACTTTATAGGACTGAAGTGTGACTTACAATTAAAAAAAATCCTTATACGACTGAACTGTGAATTACAAGTTATCAGAACATTAAAACTTTATAGGACTGAAGTGTGATTTACAAATTAAAAAAACCTTATACGACTGAACTGTGACTCACAAGTTATCAGAACATTAAAACTTTACAGAATTAAACTGTGATTACAAGTTATCAGAACATTAAAACTTTACAGAATTAAACTGTGATTACAAGTTATCAGAACAACTATTTTTAAATATGAATGTCCTCCCAGTAGTAAGTCTGAAGGCTAATAACACTAAAAACTGGGTTTCGATACCCGTGATAGGCAGAGCATAGATAGCCCAAATATTGTGTATTTTCTGAGAGGACAAATAGTACTGAAATCGGGGGTTCGATTCTTCTCTGTGGACACAGCAGATAATTCAAAGTGACTTTACTCTGAAAAAACAACAACACACACACACACAGACAGATAATAAGGTTTACTTTTAATCATCGCTGACGAAAAAAAAATCCATATTAACCCTAATTTTATACCTTTGATCTTGTCGTCTATTTCTAAAGATGGTAACGAATTAGGAATTTCAAATTCGCCATCAAATATAAGAAGTAGCATCGATTTTTGAGATTAAAGGGGTTTACATCATCATGTATTTTCAGAGAGGACAAAAAATAAGTTTTTTGAATCGTCTCTGACGAAAAGAATTTATACTGAATTTCCGAGTTAAAAGGCTTCAACTTACCTTACCTTAGAATAGAATCGTCTCCTATTATAAACAATATGAGATCTAAACGAAACTGCTTTCGTTATAAAGCTTATAAACATTCATAAATTAATCGAATAAATTTAAGCTGCTTTCTAAACGAGTTTTCCAGATTCAAATCTATTGCCATCAGTTACAAAACTTGCTAAAGTTTATGTGTTTTAATTTTTTTTCACGTCTTAGTCTTTCGGAAGTTTTTAAAAAAATACCTATCAAAATCTTTCCTAACAAAGAAACACCTAACTAGTTGTAGGGTCAGAATCTTCATGCACGTGTAATAACACTTAACACGAAGCCTATGGCAGCTTTACCAGAGATGTAAAAACAGGAAGAGCGAGGTATTTCGAATCATAGCTCCCAATGAACGACTTATTTTATTAAGAGTTAACAGACGCGTTCCGTAACTCTAGGGTTATGTATAATGCATTTTTAAATTAATTCAATTAATTAATTAGCTTTAGCGATGCTCTAACTGAATTAGTTTAACCAAACCTTGAAGTTAGTCTGGAAGTTGTTTATTCATTTTTCTTATTTCTGGAGTTAATAAGTTTCTCTACGGGCAACCCCATTAGTGATGAAACAAAAGTGTCAAATAAGAGTTATCTCTGACATCATAAATATCTTATGGTAGAAGATGTAGTTAGTATTACTTATACTTGAGCTCTCTTTCGCTCGGGCTGATGGTTAGGGCAATCGACTCGCAAGTTGCGGGTCGCTAGTTCGAATCCCGTCACCGAACATGTTCGCCCCTTCAGTGGTGGAGACATTATAATGTGACGAACAATCCTATTTTTCGTTGATAAAAAAATAATCCAAAGGTTGGTGGTGAGTGGTGTTGACTAAGCTGCCTTACCTCTAGTCTATCTCTGCTAAATTAGGAACGGCTAACACAGATAGGCTTGGAGTAGCTTTGCAAGAAATTCCAACAACAAACAATTTTTCTCGTTTTAAAATAATAATTCAGGATGTAAGTTCATATAAAATGTTCATTTCACAGTAAAAAAGGTTATACAACAAGTTCGCGCTTTATATTTTTGTAATATTAACTGCTAACCTTTACAATTAATACTGCATACTTATCTTTAAAATCAGTCGAACGTCCTAACCATCAAGCCATGCCACGCCCGAAATAAATGGACTGTTCTACAAATATTCGTGGGGGGACTTTAACAAAGTGGACAGTCGGAGTAGGAAAACTCACTTGAACTTCCAACCATTCTGGAGAGACATCATGTATTATCAAAACTGGTTAACTTACTACTTTTGACAAGTCTTCCTAGACTTTGAAAAAGTTAGCATGACTATAGACCATTATATATATTTTATTGTTGTGCTACATATTGCTAGTATGATTACAAACCAGCTCATAATAACTTAAAATTAATTATCAAATAATAACTCGGAAATAGAATAGCAAAAAAAATCTGTCGTTGATAAGTCGAGAAACAAAATGCATATATTTATTAAAAAGAAAACCTGTTTACGAAAGGTTAGGAAACGTAACAAATACGTTATGCTTAAGAAACACTGTGATCTGAATATTTTCTTGAGAGAAGAAAGAAAGTCCTCCCCTCCATTTTGTGATTGTAGGACCTCCATACGAATCGGGTGCATAACATCTTATTACCAACGAAGTGCCTTTTTTGCATCAATGATTTTAATAATGTTAACGATTTTCATGTTAACATGTGGTCTCAATTGCAGAACTAGAAGAGCATTATTGGATTTTAAATAAATACATATTTTAATTTCAAATGTAAATTACTTTCCAGATTATTAACAATTCTTTAAATCCAAGAACAAAAATAAAAACACACGAAACTTTTCAGTTTCACTTTACAAGTATCTAATTTTTAGTCACACTTTACATATTTGTACCTTCATTTTTATTTTCCCTTTGCCCATTTTGTATTTTTCAGTTTCCTTTTACACATTTTGTATAGCCATGGTCTGGTGGTTAAGGTACTCGACTCGTAACCTGTGGGTCGCGGGATCGAACCTTGTCATCGAATATGCTCATCCTTCCATTTGCGTTATACGAGTGCCCAAACCCCGCTATTCGATTAGAGTATCTAGCTTTCTTCTAGTTTATCACTTAAAAGTTAGGGACGGCGAAATACAACAATACAAACATTTTATATTTACCGTCTCTTTTCATATAATTCTAGCCTGCAGTCTCCCTCTATACATTTTTAATGCCAAATTTGGATGTTTTATAGATTTAGTGTGAATTAAGATTGAATAGGTTAACTAAATCCCTCACTTTATCCTTCAGTACATTTCACTTAACCAGTTATTCATCCATCTAAAATGTAAAGATATGCAGGATAAAATAAAACTTACTATACAGCTGGTACTATACGCTCGGTACACTTGGTATAATTAGTATTATACGGTTGGTTCTAAAAAAAATATTGCGAACAATTAAAACCAAATTAATTATTGTTTGTTTCAGAGAAATAGCAATAAATTAAAGTATGTTCTCAATAAAAAAAACTGTATAGCGACTTTTAATCCATATTGTATTAGCAGACCAGATAAATACTTCATAGGAAAAAGTAGCGGTGATTCTATATAATATGTTGTTTAGAAACCACGTTGACTTGTTGGTAGTTTCCATGATGGTATGAGCTTCATTTGGCTACTAATGTCGTATTTCTAGCGCCATGATTTTTGATGACTCTTGTGTCTTTTTCTTACAAATTTATTTCTTTTTCACGAATCAGACGTGGCGACCCTCTGGCTGTTTGTTTTCGAATGGACAACCCAACAAATTTACAGACACAACTTTTTAAAAAAATGTAACAGAGAGTTATCACTGAGTAAAAGTAAAAATATTTAAAATAATCGTAATACTAATCCCAAGTTTTAGACTTGTCATATTGTAATTATAGTGTATATTCATATAAGAGTTGATCTATCACACCAGAATAAGTTTCTTGTTTTAAATAGAGCAATATATATATATATTTGTGTGTGTGTATATGCATAAAAATCACATCTATGAAGTTGTTATTTTTTATAACTTTGAAGACAGTCCCTTATTTGTGGCCAATGATAAATAGCCATAAAACGGTTATAACAAACCGCTGTGGCTCACTAGTTTTTAAAAACAGGCTGTTTAGTCCACAGGAAAAAATCTATTTCAGGGATTATTCAACGCTAGCTGTTCTTACTGTGCTATTTCCGCTTCGCTATTGGGATTGATAGCTTCTTTCAAGACTCTAATGAGGCAAAATTAATTAAAATTGAACTGTGTGCACCTGTTCACTGGCGCTAGCGGGTAAAAACATTATGCCTTGCCTCCACGCGGCACCTTTTTTCATTCTTCTTGGAGCGTGCATGCCGCATGCTTTTACATTAAATTCACGTGCAGTATGAATTCTAATGAAAATTGCCCTCTAGGGCTAAACCAGTCGTGGTTGTCAGACTCAAGTCATTTGTATACCATTCGTACGGTTTTATTCTTTTATTTTGATTCGAAGTTAAAGACTTAAGTAAAGATAGGCGAATGTTAAAAGGACGTTGCTTTACTTATAAGCTCCACGATTAATGACTTATAATTTAGTTTCTCCTCCTTCATTCCTCTTCCAACATATAAATCAAGATTAAACAAACTTAGCAGTCATCCTTTGAATACAAACTGCGTTTTTAAACCAAAATTTGAATATTTGGAGTGGAATTTCAGGACATGACACTTTAGAGCTAGTCTGTTACTAAAGCAACCAACGTTCAGAACTAACTATTTATCTGCTGTTTTGTTTAATTAGCTGTATAGGTATGCAGGAGATCTAGCTGGTGAGTCATTAAGCAAAAGTTAGGTTGTTTTTTTTCTTCATACATTAAGGAACTGAAATGAACACTTGAAAAGAAAAGAGCGATTTTTTTTAGATGAGAAAATAGGAACAAAACAATCAATTATGGAAGGGAGAGTAAATGACAACAGAAGTGACATTTTCTACCTGAGTCGACTAGCTCCCCGTAACACGACTTGACAAGTGTGCCCCTGGGTGGTCTGTATCCTGAGTCCTCGTATGGGTTCAAATCTAAGATGGTAGGAGAACCCATTATTAGAACCCATTATTACAAAGGGTAACGGTTTGATTGTAACAGAAAATTTGTTAATCTCAAAACATCAGCAGTCGAAATAGCATTTTAATACAAGGAACTGAAAGATATAGAGTTTGTGTGGTATTTATATAGATCAATATCACTCTTACTTTACCACAGTTAAGCAAATGAGGTTTTGTTTTTGTTTTAAATGCTGCCATTTTTCTATCTATAATATAAATGTGTCCCATAATTCAGCCTGTGAATATGATGTTATGTTATGGCAAAAAAAAATCTGCCTGTGATGTATAAACAGTAAACTTCGCTATTTTATTTATTTACTTTGTGTGTAGCTGTCATGTTACATGATGGCTTCCCATAGTTGATAGCAAGTATTTTTTTTTAGAATTTATCCAAGCTAGATTATGCTAGAGTGGGTTAAAATGATGTAATTTATTAGAATAAGATATCACGATCTATGTACTTATATGTTATTCCAATGGGTTAAACGGTCTTTTAAGTTAAGGCTGAGTTGAATAAACCGTACATGATCTAAGTTATGTGTGAGTAAGTTGATGTTAATCCCACTCAACAAATTCAGGACAGGTCAGTACAATTTAGGGGGTTGTAAAATTTGTTTTCTCCTGTTTGTGTGATTTAGGATGGAGTAATTTCGTCTAGGTAATCTTAGGATAGGTTAGTTTTGTTTGTTTGAAGTTAAACACAAAACTACACAATAGACTATCTGTGCTATGCCCACCACAGGTATCGAAACCCGGTTTCTAGCGTTGTAACTCCGTAGACATATCGCTGTGCCATTGGGGGGCTTTATGGTAAGTCATTTTTATGCAGGTGACATTAAAATGGAATAATCCGATTTAGTCAGTGTAGTAAAAGCGCTTGAAATATTCTGAAGAAGCAAAAGCTGAGACGGAGCGGAATTCGAACCTACAATCCTGTGTCCATCAAATGTTTTAATCAGTTAAGATATACCGCCCCAGGAATACCATTATTTATAGTTTTTACTCCGATAACTATAACGATGGAATTTTCTAACTTCACAGAACAATGTTACACTCAAAAGAGCTACAAGTCCGGTCTAAGTTTCTAGTTCTGAAAGTTTTTAACTTTACAGATCAGTGTGACACTGAAAATAACTACATCCGGTCTAAGTTTTTAGTTCTGAAAGTTTTTAACTTTACAGATCAGTGTGACACTGAAAATAACTACATTCGGTCTAAGTTTTCACTTCTTCTGAAAGTTTCTAACTTCACAGATCAATATGACACTTTCAAATTTCCGTATAAAGTTTTTTATGGATGTGACACTGCTTGCTTAAAGGATAAAATAAGAACTGATACATACAATTACTTATTGTGTTTTTGTTACTATTACTGTCTTTACTGCGTGTTACAGTCAGTTACGTTTTTTCTTAACTGCTTAGGGCCTTAAAATAAGATAAACTGCTAAACAAGCTGAGTCATGACATTATATATTGTTTGTAAATAAATGATTAACCACGGACACATTGAACATTGTAAACTAAATATATTTATGTGAAAATCATAACCAGATCAAACAAAATGCGAAGTTTTAACACAGTCTATATTTGTCCCTTTTAAGAGTTGTAATGTTTTTCTTTCAAAAGTATATTTAATAATAACCCAGTGATGATATGAACAAAACATAATATTTCTTTGCCTCTGAACACATTTTCTCACATACTGCTTTACAAACAACACATAAATCGTTATAATGTTTATTAACAGAGATTAGTTAAAAGGTTAAATTCTAAGTAAATGATAAAAAAACAAGTATTTTTAACACACGCACAATAAAAGAGAGTTTTGGGATATGTAAGGGAACAATATAAGCCTAACAATAACATTCAGAACAAGAATGCAAATTGTGCAAGTAGGAGGAAAAACTAAACTAAACACAATGCTTTTTCAAAAAGAAATTGATTCCACAAAGACTGTAAATGTATATAACTAACTATTACACTCCTTTACACAAAAGTTGTCTGACAGACATAATATTTCATCACATAAAAAATTATTTCGATAGTTGTTTAGTTAATATATGTACAAGTAAGCAAAATGTCTTTTTGGAAAAATAACTCTGTTTTCTAGTAGTTGTAGTCTAATAACTGAAACGAAAATAAAAACGTTTTCGTTTTCATCATATATATATACCTACTTTCTAGCGCAAGTCAAGCAACAGATGTATTGTTTTTTTTTGTTTTTTTTAGTAGCTGCAAGAAGAACGCAACGTTAAGTTTCGTGTTGATAGCTGTATGCGAGTATACAACACCAAAATTCATGTTGGTAGCTCTATGTACATACGCAACGTCAAGTCTCACGTTCATGTTAAGCACTCTGTGGGGATATTCTGCCCCAAATATAGTTAGAGCATGCATTCTGTAACAATAAGTATTCCGTTGAGGAAAAGGAAATTTACACTGTCTAATTAAAGGGTTTTTATCATGCTATTTCATACTTTTTATTATGATTTAGTGTACTATCACACTTCACACTTTGTAGTAGATTCCTATGTAGTCCTTGCTTGGAAGGATAGAATTTTCAATTTTATTTCTTTCATTAAGTTATTAAATAAAAATTGAATTTATGTACGATAATATGAAAATCATGGTGTCTGTAAAATGTGCAGTGGTTTTTATTCGACTGATATAAATAGCGTTTCATCCAAGATCATGCAACTCAGCCGGTCTGATGAGCTCTGGGGCAAAAACCCTCGTCAACAACTGATCAGACAATAAAGCATAATTGTCTCCTATTGGGCCAGTAAATACCACTGACTTCAATTATTATCGTTTTTTTTGTTGTTTTTTTGTGTGGGGCTAGATATCACACCCATAACAGGGTTAAATGTTGATATCACACTTATAACAGGGTTAAATGTATTTCACGTTTTTCTTTCGTTCAAGAGCCTGGTTAACTAGTGATTAACGCGCCGATGTCTGGATCAGAAAGACCATGATTTCCGTCTCGTTGTCGCAAAATTACGCTCCACTCTTTGTTCCCGTGGCGGTCAAGTCACACTATTTATTTAGAGTAACTCAAGAGTTGTCAGTGGGTGTTGGTTGCTAGCTACCTCCTCTCTAATCTATCAGTTCAAAATTAAAGGACGGCTAGCGCAGATAGCGCGAACACTCGAAACAAACAAACAGTCATCTAGGCCTATACTAAAGTATCTTATAAATGTATAATAAAAACAACCAACACACGAACATTGCATGGTGTTGTCGTCTCCATGCTCACAACTCACGTATAAACACGCATCTAACGGGCTGCCTTGATGTCTGTCGTGTAATAGCTCATAGAAAATTAATGTCTACCAAAGAAGAACCTGGTGATTATCTTCATGTTACCTAGTTCGTGATAAATATTTAAAAACTACCGACAAGTATAAGTCCGGCGACCCTGTGAGAACTTCCATTCTGTGGGAAATTAGTGGTCAAAGCCCATAAATTCCACGTGAGCAATGAGGAGTTTTAAATGTAGAACCAAGAGTAGGCGAGATGTGGCTAAACAACTAAATTGATCTTTATACTGTATATCGATATGTTTATAGACATACAGAGACATTGAAGGAAACGTCGCACGAAATTTTGGTATCCCAGAGTCTACAGTAGCTACTGGTTCAGTTTTGTTGTTTCTAACAATTACTAACAAATGTTCGTAATACATGTCAGAAATACAGTCATCTAGCACGAGATCCTCACCACCTGTTACGTATGAACAGGAACATGCATGCATCAAATAAGTATAATCTGTTGTTTGGAAGTTATTTTTCTTTGTCACGAGTTTTCCAAAGTGCTATAATGACATGAAACACACGTACTCAACCACCCATCTATACAGTCAAGGAGGGTGCATAAGAAATTGAGGCCAAAAAGCTTTAGCTTTAGAGATCTGAAACCAAATGAAGTCATTTTATGTCGCTTGTTTTAAAATGAGATCAAACAGAATCAATAAACCTTTAGTTTTGGGAAATATAGAACACGAAAAAGGACAACTAAGAGCGATTTCTAAAGTTTATTCAACATGTGGGATTATTCAGGAGTGCATGTTATCTCTTGGAAGGCAGGTTTAAGTTAATAGACACGTATTAGCACGACTTGTTGGTAACGAATCCGTGAAGAATAGGAAACTGTTTTAGAAATATTTTTAGTTTTTCACTGTAGTTACTACATTGACTCGTACAGCCCAGTTAAATAAGGGAAAATCACTAGGTAATGTGTAGGTGATATTTGTTTCTTTGTTTATAGTTAAACACAAAGCTATACAATGGGCTATCTATGCTGTACCCACCACCAGTATCAAAACCAGGTTTTTAATGCTATCAGTCTTCAGACTTAACCGCTGTTTGGGTCTGGAGTTGTTATTGGAACACAATTTAAGCTTCATTGTATTATATAGTTCAACACCAGGTGTTTTTTGTTTTTTTCCGAAGTCATAATAAACACTTTGGTTTTTGAATTAGAAACATCTACAGTTCACAAACTTAAGGAATTTGTATTAACTGATTTTGGAGACATTTTTTTAAACTAGAAACATAAAAATGTTTGATTGTTTTAAATTACAAAATAAACTGACATACGTTTTTGAAATGAAGAAACTGCCCGAATAAACAGTATTTCATAGTAAATTTAATGAACATATTTGAAAGCTAAAGAAGTTCTATAATTTATGCCGATTTATAAAAGTCTGCCGGATAGGAAGGGTAAAACACCACTGGAGAATATGGAGTGTTTACTGCTCAGAAAAAACGGGAATCGTTGATGATTTTTTAATATTAACCCCCAGTAAAAATAGATTCATTAAACGCGTGCTTCACTAGCGGAAAGCGGACAGAGAACGCCATCAATATATTGATAAGCAACTTTTTATTGTTTTAAAGTTATATATTTTTTCTCCATTTTTAATGGCTGTTTTATTATCCGCATACACATTTGTTTCCTGAATAAAAAACT